TGCAGACTACACAAAGGATGGGATGAGCCATTGGACAATGCCCGAAAATGGTTAGCTGGAACAAATGCCAATGATTGAGACTTTCTGGGCTGACCGATGTTTGATACCCTTAGAGTTTGAAAACTTGAAATGTGATTTGCATCACGTTGCAGATGCATCATTGGTTGGATATGGCACAGTATCCTATCTGCGGATAGTAAACAATGAAGGACACGTCCATTGTGCTTTTGTGATGGGAAATTCGAGACTTGCACCTTTGAAGCAACTTACAGTTCCTCGACTGGAATTATCAGCTGCTGTCATGGCAGTTAGAATTGATCAACTGTTTGCGCAGAGAACTGAGATTGGAAATTGATAAGTCCATGTTCTGGTCAGATTGCATGACAGTATTGCATTACATCAAGAATGAATCCCTGCGTTACAAGGCCTTTGTGGCAAATAGAGTGAGTGCTATTCATTCAGGATCTTCACAGGACAGTTGGCGATATATTGGATCAGATATAAATCCACCTGATGATGCATCCCGAGGTTTAGATGCCAATGATGGATTCAAGGTCCTAGTTTCTTGTGGCAAGAGGAGCACAGATGGCCAGTGATGCCAGAAATATTACAGGTATCTGAGAGTTCTTTAGAAACAAAGAAGGCAGTAGAATGTTTTGTACAACTACATACCCCTGTGTGTGTAATGGACAGATTACTGGAGAGATTCTCATCATGGCTGAAACTGAAGAAAGCCACGGCATGGCTTTTACGATTCAAACAGTGGTTGCTTCAAAGAACGAAGGGAACAAAATTTGATTCAAATGTTTCTCCTCGTAATCTGACAGTTGAGCTTCTGAAGTATTTGCAGAGATGTCATTTGCATGAGGAAATAGCTATATATATATATATATATATAGATATAGATATAGATATAGATCGTCTGAGAAGAAGGGAACGAGTGAAGAAATCAAGTACACTCTACAATCTTGAGCCTGTTTTGAATAATGTTGATGTCATGTGTGTTGGGGGTCGTTTGAGTAACGCACCTATTCAAGAAGAGTCTAAACATCCTATGATCATTCCGAAGAATCATCATGCTGGAAATCTGATATCATCTCACTGCCATGAGATCCTTGGACATTCAGGTCGAGAACATGTTTTGTCTCACATGCGGCAGAAGTTGTGGCTTATCAACGCACGAACCACAATAAACAGGATATTGGGGGAAGTGTGTCCATTGTCGGAGACATCAAGGCATCCAGAGTTCACAGCGAAAGGCAAGTTTACCAAAGGAAAGGGTTACTCCTCATAACCCGCCATTCACATTTGTTGGGGTTGATTGTTTTGGCCCGTTCCTTGTAAAAAGGGGCAGAATTTTGGTAAAACGATACGGATGCTTGTTCACGTGCCTAACAGTGAGAGCAATACACATAGAAAAACTTGACTCCATGGATACAAATTCCTTCATAAATGCATTGACAAGATTCGAGGCACGTCGGGGAAAACCAGAGATTATTAGATCCAACAACGGGACAAACTTCAAGGGGGCACATCAAGAGCTTAGACAAGCTATTCAGGAGGTGGATCAGACAAAGATCTACAACTCTATGCTGGAAAGGGACATACATCTTTAATCCACCCACTGCCTCACGTATGGGAGGTATGTGGGAAAGACAAATTAGGACAGTTCGCAAGGTTTTGTCTGCTCTGCTTAACAAACAGAATGGCCTCAGTGATGAAGGTCTCAACACATTGTTTTGTGAAGCTGAATCTATAGTCAATAGCCGACCAATCACTGTTGTGTCAGATAATGTGAATGATTGTGAACACCGAATCACCTACTGCTACTTTGATCAAACATTTCAAAACCACCAGGTAACTTTCGAATGGAAGATGTTTATGGTAGAATGTGGAGACATGTACAGTTTCTCTCAGATTGTTTTTGGAAACGGTGGATAAAAGAGTATCTACCATGCTTACAGTTACGGCAGAAGTGGTTAAAGCCTTGTGAGAACATGAGTGTCGGTGACATTGTGTTGGTGATGGAAGAAAACACACCTCGGAAGATGTGGCCTTTGTCTCGGGTCACCAGGACATTTCCTGGAAAGGATGGGTTTGTGAGATCTGTGGAAGTGAAATTGAGGGGTTCACTGCTGTTAAGACCCATTCACAAGCCGTGTGTGTTGGATCATGTGGAATGAAATACACCAGATACCAAGTGTATTGCACTATGACAATGAGACAGCGAAGACATTCAGATAATAGTTCAATCTTCATTGCTGAGGTAAAAACAGCTTTGATCCATACTAAACAACACAATCAATGTAAAACGTTCATCATCTTCTTAGATTCCCTGTCTTGCCTTCAGGCACCTAAAAGTGTCTCCTCGAATGACCCTATAATTCTAGACATTTAAGAACTTTTCAAAGATCTTTCAACTGGCTCACGTGACGTCGTCCTTTGTTGGTCATGCAGGCATAACAAGACTCCGAAGACGATAAAGCAGCTCGTGACAAATCTTATCTCAACGACTGATTCCGTACAGTGATTTCTAACCACCTATCAAGAATTATACTCGGGATCTCATGCAAAAAAGGTGGGACACCCAGGTAGGAATAAAAAAAACCCTTCATATAAACTAAAACCTACAATCGGTCATACCAACTTGGGTTGTCAGTCAAGACATGATGAGGTCATTTTACGACTATGTCGTATTGGCCACAGTCGGTTTACCCTCGAATATCTGCTTGAGACCGATGAAGACGAACCTCTTAAGTCTATCCCTTGTGATGAAAGTTTCACTGTCAAGCATATACTGTTTGACTGTGTGGTCTTTGCAACTGCAAGGGATTCACATAATCAAACAGTAAATCTGAAGGATCTCTTTGCCCGTGTAAGTGGGCATCTCATCGTAAGTTACTTAAAAGACACTGGTCATTGTTATAAATTTTGGTTTTTAAATTTGGTGTGATGCTTTTATCAACAAAGATTATCGAAGGCTCTGTCCGGGTGGTTAAAATACAGTAAAGTACGTTTATAACGAACTGATGGATATAACGAGCCTACTTTTTTGTCCCGACTATTTGCTGTCGTTATGCTGTATATATGCTTATAAAGAACTACGGTTATAACGAACTAAACTTAGTGGTCCCTTTGAGTTCGTTATAACCGTAGTTTACTGTACCGTAAAATAATTGCCCCCCTGTGTGACACGTAATTCCTGTCATAATCAATGTAACTATTATATTCCAACAAGACCCAAATCACCCACTTAGCTGAGATACTTGACGGACTGCAAATATTGACAAGCATGTGTTGTTTTCGGGAATCAAGACAACCAGTAAACTATGGTTATAACGATCTCGAAGGGACCACTAATTTTAGTTCGTAATAACCGTAGTTCGTTATAAGCATATATACAGCATTTATACAACAAATGGTCGGGACTAAAACAAAAGTTATAACAGTCAGTTCGTTATAAGCGTGTACGTTAAAAACATAGTTTACTGTACTTTAAAACAAAGATTGAATGAAAATGGTAAATCTTCAGACCAGTCAAACACAAGTACACTTAAAGTCTCCCCAGCTTAAAAGTGGGTGGGTGAGTGAGTTTAACGCTGCTTTTAACAGTATTCCAGTCATATCACGGCGTGTCAGCTTAATGTGGGAGGAAAACCTGAAGTCATGCAGGTCTCAGACGTTTACCATTTCATGATCAGTGGAACCAACGAGCACGAGTATGGTGTTGACACAACAAGAAACATTATCGGGGCGAACCGGGATTGGAACTAACGATCATAGGTTTTTTCCTAAGGGACCACAGATTAAGAAAGGAGAGTCATGTGCTTCAAAACAAATACTGTGTATACTGTGTCTGTATGCTTCCATTGCGTACCGTGGGCCTGCCTTTGGGTATTACTGAAACGGGGTGAGGTGAGGTGAGGTGAAATGGGGTTTAGCGTCGCGTCCAAGATTATTGCACTTATATAGCGACGTGCATGCACGTGTATGTATATGTGAGGCTGCTTGTACTAGTCCGGGCTAATGCCGATTTATAGTGCTAGCTCACTGAGATACCATGCCGCAGTTTAACATGAATACCCCACTCAGACACAGTAAACTGACTCCGAGCCGACCAGTCCTTGTTTTAGCCCCTTAATGCCGAGCGCCAGACAGGGTAACAACAAGTACCATCTTTTAACGTCTTTTGGTATGACGCGGCCGGGGATCGAACCCCGGACCTTCCGCTCTCCGGGCGGACGCTCTACCACTAGACCACGGAGGCGGTCTTACTGAAACGAACGTATCTATATTTGTGATCAACCATGAGATAAGGGACCGTATGGGTGAAAAATCACATTTTGTCTTCTTAATATATTTTACAAATACAGCATCTTAGGACCATAAAAATACGAGTCAAAAGCTGTAATTTATATTTATTATTGAGATGCATGGCATCAACATATTGACTCATTTTCTGCAAAGTTCCATTTTCAGACTTATAACTGTTTATTTAATGGCTGCAGTTTTTAAATATAATTTTGCTTAATTGATGGTAGGCATGTATGCTGAAATGTTTTGAAATGGCTTTATTATATTACGAACTAACGAAAGAGAAATAGGAAATGTTTGTTCAGCCTGCACACAAGGCAATTTTTACAGTAAGTTGATGTCGAACGTCTTTCTGTATGACGTCACGGCACAATTATATCCTACCTTCCATAAGGTCCCTTTTCTCCCGTTGGGTCGTATTTTTATCAAGTAACAGTGTACCACTACATTATTGGGTGAGTGAGTTTAGTTTTACGCCGCTTTTAGCAATATTCAAGCAATAAATCAGCGGGGGAACCCAGAAATGGATTTCACACATTGTACCCATGTCGGGAATCGAACCCGAGTCTTTGGCATGAAGAGCGAACGCTTTAACCACTAGGCTACCCAACCACCCTTTACACTAATACAGTGTCTAGGCCTCAGAGTGTGCATACAACATAACGTGTCTATTTTGTGCCGTTTACCTGCAGGGAGGGTGGTCTTCCCTAACGCCACAGCTCCCGGAGCGTCAACTAGCGTCAACGACGACAACGGCAAATTGTGGCAAGTACACCGCTGGTCAGTTTTGTCGTAAACGATGGCAACTTTAGTTCCGCTGAAGATACAGAACGAAATACATGCCAATTTTCCACTGACAGTTTGGGAGACTTTCACGGCTCCGCTGAACTTCTTGTTACTGTAAGATGAGGATGGGGTCCAGTTTAGATCTTCCAGGCACGTTCCAGTAGATCCGTGTACCACCATAGTCATCATCAGCCCGACTATTGTACTATACATATGCATATCCATTTTCATGTCCACATCACGCACAGAAATATTACAAAGACAGAGACTGCTGTCTCATCTCGGCAACCGCCCAGACGCAACTGAAGTAATATGTAATTCTATGCTTCTCATCGATCTGAAAGGTCTTGTATTGATCAGCAAGTAAGGTTTTAAGTGTACAACCCTTCGCGTACACAGTAAGGACTATATGACTACATTTCACTGATAAACAAAAATCATGGACTTGAAAAACTCAAGTTAAATGTGTCAATTATAAATCAGCATGTGTAGGATAAAACACGCCTCCTCGGTTTTGGTTGAAAATGTAAAACCACGAGCTCAAGGTTTTACATTTTCAAGCAAACCCAAGGAGGCGTGTTTTGTTCAACTTACGAACCGTCCAAATGCAGGAAATACCAGAAACAATAAGAATACATCGAGATACCTTAGAGTGAAACACTATAGTCTGTCGCCGTATAAAAAAACTCGATCAACCATGAGAGAAGAAAAAACACGTGCAGCATGGACCAGCCGGAGTCATGACATGTAAAACTGAACACGTTTTCATCACTTTCCCGGTGGTTTAGTGGGAAAACGGTGGGTTACAACTTAAGTAATATTCTCGACACGTTTCCATCTATATTAATTAAATAGTTTTCAATACTTAAACATTCATTACAATTCTATACATGAATCGTTTAGAAAATGTATCTCTTGCAGCTGTCCAGGATTGCGACTGGATATCATTTAGATTTATCTTTAACTATATTTTAAAATAATCTGGACTTTGAAAAGTTAGTGATATGGTATTGACACAGAAGTTTTGATCCACTTAATCTGTAAAAAACATCCGCATCGTGCGAGACTCACCGCCAATTAGCCAATTAGCTTGTTAATATCGTGATCTGTTTTAATTAATTGTATGTTTGAATCTTATGCTTTGTTTTTTTTTACTTTCATGTATAATGGATTTCTGTGTACTTCGTTTGTATCATAAAACAGTATGCATTCACAGCGTGTCCATCGATATGGCGCCCGCGGTTAGCAGAATCCCTCGAATTCTGAGTTCAAAATTCCCGGGACTATCTGATATTCCAATTTGAGTTCGCTGCCCATAACCGATGTAACAAAATCAAACTAATTATTCCAGGTAGTGTAACAAAGGGAAAATAATATGTAGTGATTAATTGTGCACAGAAGAATCGCTATGGTGGACAAAGCCATTTTGTCACTCATTGACAAAGTATTATTGTCGTTCTAATTACAAAAAAAGCTTTTATTCCTGTGACTTTTCATTAAAATGAAACGTTACAACGCATTTCATCCAGCCAACCAGCCAAGACTGCCTCCGTGGTCCAGCGGTAGGGGGCCCGTCAGGAGAGCCTGGCACTCGGCATTAAGGGGCTAAATAAAACAAAACACGCACTGGTCGTTCGTCGTCGCTGGAGTGGTGCAATATTTATTTATTTATTTATATATTTTATAGATGTAAATTACGGTTGGTTGGTTTGTTGTTTAACGCCGCAGTCAGCAAAATTCCAGCTATATGACGGCGGTCTGTAAATAATCGAGTTTGAACAAGACAATCCAGTGATTAACATAGTCGCCTTTTAATTCAGCTACGCCTGGATTATGCAAGATGTTGGAAATGTTTATCTTTTTATGTTTCAGTTTAAGCAACGTGTTTCCGATTACAACATCCAACGATGACATTCATCAAAATCATCAAAGCCAAAGCCAACGGCAAATTCAACCTACAAATCAGTTTTACAGACCAAAGTAAATCTTACACAAGTCGACTCTACACTATTGAAACAAGTGCTGTCAGGATTTAAATGTGGCTGTTATCAGCTGATCGAAATGGGCAGACGCAATGGCATCGATCCAGAATGTCGCTTGTGTAGATATTGTATTCGATTAAATGAATATCATTTTTCACTTGTATGTCGTGCATTTAGTGATTTAAGATATCGATACATTGTTCCTAAATACTTTGTAAATCCGTCACTGGAAGCCTTTATTTGCCTGATGTCATCTAATCCAAAACCTATACTTGTACAGTTATCAAAATTCATATTGAATGCCATGAAATTGTATAAGTCACTTTATCAGTAATTGTATTCCTGAAATGTTACATCTATGGGGCAGAGCCCTCTGACTGGAAACAAAGGTGTTGTTGCAGTAGTCGTCTTGTACGGCAAGCAAGGGTTGCTGAAGATATTCTACTCCGGATCTTCAATAGTTTTTAACGCGACGTTAAACCCCATTTCACCTCACCTCATTCAGCAAAACACGCCGAAGACCCGAGTTCGAATCCCGACATGGGTACAATGTTTGAAGCCCATTTCTGGTGTCTCCCGCCGTGATATTGCTGGAATATTGCTAAAAGCGGCGTAAAACCAAACTCACTCACTCACTGGTATCTCAGTGAGCTAGCACTATAACTTGGCGTCAGTCCGGTCTAGTACAAGCATCTACAGACACTCAGGCATGCACGTCGCTATATAAGTGCAATAATTTTGGACGCGACGGTAAACCCCACTTCACCTCACCTCACCCCTGAAGGAGGCAGCCTCCGATGATCAGAAAAACAGCGTCTATTCAGATGAAGCGGTATAACTTTTTGACAAAGAGATCGCAAAGCTTGGTCGTTGTTATAAATCCATCTCTAACAATGTGGTCACATTAAAACTGTTTCCAACATGGTGACATGTTGAAGAATACAAATCTCTTCATACTCAGATTGAGTCGAAAGCTTCAAATTGATCATGAAACCGGGCCATGTAATAAAGTTGGTAACCCGTGAGTATTCCGGGTTTGAATTGGTCCCAGGCAACCTTTGCTTGTTGTAAGAAGAGTCTTAATGGATCAGTGGTCAGGCTTGGTGACTTGGCTGATGGTGTGTCAACGTATCCACGGCTTGGATCGTTGCTGATACTATCAATCACTGTGTGACCATTTAAGAAATATGAAAAAAACCCTGAAAAATACTCGAACTGCATGTCACAAAAGCAGTAGGCTCGTGATGTGATGACATTGAACTAGGAAGTGATGCAATGTTACACCTGTCACGATGCATCGGGCGTTAGTTCGAAAAGCAGATTCACCCCGATTAACATTGTTGGTTTGTTGGACCCCGTGTTTAACATCCAACAACATCGTAAAAGTCCACGAATTGCGTCACTGCGTGCTTTGCTCTGATTAAGGTTGAAACGCTGAGAGATATAATTGTGATATTGACCAAGGTGGCGTTGAACTAGCTCACTCACTTACACCCATTAGGATCCGGGGTAGAATAGTTCTTCAGCAACCCATGCTCGCCGTAAAAGGCGGCCATGCTTGTCCTAAGAGGCGTCTAACGGGATCGGGTGGTCAGGCTCGCTGACTTGGTTGATGCATGTCATCGTATCCCAATTGCGTAGATCGATGCTCATAATGTCAATCACTGGATTGTCTGGTCCAGACTCGATTATTTACAGGTCGCCGTCATATACCTGGACTGTAGCTGAGAGCTCAAACACACAGAGATGCATTTGTGCATCAATGTATGTATTACTGTGTAACACTGAAAACCAAGGGAAGAGCCATGGTGCAAACAGCCCAAGGGTCATAATCGGGATCAGTCCGATATTCCAAAATACCACCAGGACTTATTGGCAGATTTTGGAGCGGTAAAGTGAGATGCGGCGCCTTGGACGATTTTTTTCATACTTCTTTTCCAAAACGGCCACCATGAAATGCTCTTGTGATATTTAAAGTTTCATAACTGAAGTATGCCAGAGTACGAATGAATGATATTTTACGTCGCAGTCAATCATATCCCAACTACGAGTATATCATAGCGGTATTTGCACAACTGCTTCTGTGTTGGTCAATCTACTGGTTTCAAGTGATTGCATGAGCCATGTACCGTCGGGTCAGGGTGACCTGGAAACAACCAGGTCACACATGGTCCTCCCTCAACCCTCATTTGTCAGCTCCTACACCCACCCGTGAAGGCGACTATGCTTGTCGTAAGAGGCGACTTACGGGATCGGGTGGTCAGGTTCGCTGACTTGGTTGATGCATGGAATCGTTTCCCAATTGCGCGGATCACGATATCCATCACTGGATTGTCTGGTCCAGACCTGATTATTTACAGACCGCCGTCATATAGCTTGAATGTTGCTGAGTACGGCGTTCAACAACAAACAAACAAACAAACAAACAAACAGCTCTCATGCCAAGCATGACTCACTTGTACTGTACTGCATATACTTCACTAAGGAAGAGGACCATTGAAGTTCAAGAATAACTACAATAACTCGACGCAGGGGAGTCATGGTAACTTAACAGCCTGCACTCAACACAAAGGAGTAGAGTGCACAACAAGATATAGTGTAGCCCTTGGGAAATGTTGTGTAAGGTTCCTTTACAAATTGTGAGCGCCAATGTGCACGCGCTATTACGCCAGAAGTCACGTGCCCCAGCATCGGTAGTGACCATGGCTATGAACCTGTGATCAGCTTCGAATAAATCATTGTTCAGTTCAGACGTCTTGTTGCTTGATGTTCCTCCCAATTTAGGTGCATGTCGTACAAGTACCTGAGCGTGATGTACAGTCTGACAACTTCACTACAGGAAGCATACATGTCGACACACCCAACTGCTCGCCCTTATATACTGTAAAATAAGAAAACGGAAAAGTCTCACATGGATTTATGAGTATTTTATTTTGAACGTTGTAATAGTTACTCTTATACAGGGTGCACGGGTGGCCCAGTCATCTAAGGCGCCGCGTTTCGTTGTGCAGAGTTGCGTCCCTGGAGCACGCCAGAAACCTATGATTGTGGGTTCGAATCCCGGTTCGCCCCGATTATGTTTCAAGTTTTGTCAGCACCATACCCGTGCTCGTTGGTTTCACCGAACGTCTGAGACCTGCATCACTTCGGGCTTTCCTCCCACATTAAGCAGACACGCCGCGATTTAGCTGGAACACTGTTAAAAGTGGCGTTAAGCCCAACTCACTCACTACTCTAATACATGAATCGTTTGATAGGCATTTCGTAGGGGTTGACGGTTGACAAAGTAGATAAAAGATTATGTGA